GCTCCATTCCCGGCGGCGGGGGGCTCTCCCGGCCTCGGTGGAGGACACGATGGGGATGGCCGGGTTCTTGTCGCTGCGCTGCCCCGCCGGCTGCTGACCCCGCAGCGCCCGCGTCCCGCGGACACCCGCGCCAGGTGAGGGGGCTGCGCTGAGGGGGCTGCGCTGAGGGGGCTGCGCTGAGGGGGGGCCGAGAGGAGCGGAGCGGAGCGGGGCGGGGGTGGGCGATGCCGTAATGCGGAGGGGGAGGCGGCCGTGCTGCCGTACGCATTTGTGGGGCCCCGCAGAGGGATGAGGCAGGAGCGGGGGGATGGAGGAATGGATGATGGAGGGATGGATGGATGGGTGGATGGATGGATGGATGGATGGGTGCATAGCACTGATGCCCTGGAGCTGTCAGGGCAGCAGCGCAAGGGCGTGGGGCCCCGCTCGGCCTTGCCATCTGCCCGATGCATCTCCTCGTCTCCCGGGATGCGTCCCTCCCTCCCCTCCCTTCTCTTTCTTCCTTCCCTTCTCTTTCTTCCTTCCCTTCCTCCCCATCTCTCCTTCCTTCCTTGTTCCCGGGGTGGCGGCTCCCCGGCCTTTCCACGGGCTGGCTGCCGCCCGCCGTGCCGCGTTCCCCGTTCCCCCCGTTTCCAGCCGGGATGCGGCGGAGGCGGCAGCTCTGGTTGCGGGCTGTGCGGGGCTGTGGAGGGATGGGGCTGTCGGGCGGGCTGTGTCCCCGTGTCCCCGTGTCCCCGTGTCCCGGGGGCCGCACAGCGCTGTGGATGCTGAGGCGGCCATGTTGCGATGATGAGCTGACAATCCTGGCCGCTCGCTCGCTCGGGAGCGGCTCTGGGCACGGCGCAATGGGGGCATCCACTGCGGGCTGCATTCGCCACAACACAGGAGCCATTTCTGCCTGTTTAACACAATGTAGCATAATGTTCATACCAGATTCTGAAGGATATTTCTCCTCTTAGCTCAGTTCTTTTTGCYGTTGCACAATCCAGTGTTGGTAAATAGCCATGGGTGCATGTGATCMGATTTCAGCGGCTCGCCAAGTTCTGCAGCACTGGTGGATGTGGCATCTGCACCTGGTACCGATATAGCAGAGCGTGTGTGTGAGTTCAGCTGAGGGGTCACACTGGCAGCACTGCCCGAGCCTCGTGGCCACTAAAATTGGCTCTGCTGGGGCCCCTCGTTCAGAACCCCCGAACAGTTCTTGTGCCAACTTTCCTTATGCTAATCTCCGACCTTGCTTTATTTATTTAGAGCTGTTGCATTAATTGAGTTACAAGCAATTTTTTTGTTTCAACGTTAGCGCATTCTGTGATACGCARATATGACCCAGTGACTGGTTATCTTAAATAGAAGTGGTTCTTCTTTATTTGTGATATCTGGTGGGGTTTTTTTAATTTGAATGCAGAGCAGAGATACAGATTTTGAACATTGTTTTGTAACCACTTCGACTTTGTTGCAGACTTCTCTGATAATAATATGAATCWAAATCCCTGCTCTGCTTGTAACTGTACTTAAGAAAAGATAGCAGTATGTTTTTATTTTGAGATTGCATAAAAATTGGTTTGCCAGAACTTTCAGATACATCCATGGATTCAAGTCTTAATGTTTCTTCAAGTGTTTTTGTGAAAGTCCAGATTTATTGGATTTGTCAACTTGAATACCAGTAAACAGACAAGATATTTAGATTATTTGTTTAATGACACACTTTAATTTTAAAATCTTTTTAAACTGTGTGACTTACAGGGTGGGTATCTTCTAATAATGGTTTAAAATAAATATAAAGCTAGAATGTAGCATTTGATTTTTGCTGATGAAGCTCACTAAACAACTCAAATATCAACTCCCAGCTGTTTTGGAGTCAATGGTAGATCACCTCAAAGACACTCATGCAGTTCCCCTCTTGGTTACTGCTTGGGATCATCCAGACTGAACCTTAAAAGAGACACATCTGTAGGCTCCTGCCAAGGCTTTAGGGGGATGATTCATTCTTCATGGATGGCAKCCTTCTAAGCCTATAATGAACATTAAAAAAAAGTTGTCTTTTATTAATATTGTTCTTCTAAATCTGTACCACAGACTCTTTGCGTATTTTGGTTTTCTCTCTTTCAAGTTATGTTTCCACCCTTTAGTCAGCATTTTGTAGTAGGAAGTGATATTAATGGTAAATGTGAACCCTGAAAAACCGGTTGCAATTTATTGTCTGTGATGCTCTGCAACTTGGGGCTCATTTTGCCTTATTTTACCATTCTGTTTAATGAGGGCAATGCTGCTTTTATAAAATTAAAGTTACTGGTAAATGGAAAAACCCCTCAAAACCCCATCAGCATAAATGTATGGAAAGCTTGGSAAATTATGGTGRTTTTATTTYATTTTCTTRTTAATGAAAAYGRAATCTTSCATGGTGAATTGATACTTAAAACATCTGAAATCCATGTTGAAATACGAGTAGATGTTTTGCTTACCTMAGCTATGAAAAATAGAGTTGAGAACAAACAAGATTTAAAATTATACTGCATTTAATTTTCCATCAGCACAAACGTTAGGGTTGGCTAAAATTGGAAACTGCAGAAGTCTGGCAGTTAAATTTTCATGTTGCAGGTGATTTTGCAACCTGTTCTGTGAGAATCTCTTCAGAGCTGTGTTTCAAACTGTCATTTAGCTGGTGTAAATGGAGYCTCTGGAGGTGTGATTTTCATGCTTTCTCATTGTGAATGTTTAGAGGTACTTGAGAACATGCATAGATTTACTTTATTGTGGATTATTTTTTCACACCACCCTCTGTTTGCCAGCTTTCCATAGAGTGGCTATCTGCAGAAATTAATGCAGTGTTCTGAGAGGTGATTTTATAAAAAACATCAGAAAAAAATCTTCATGGGACTCTACAGTAAGAGGGGAAAGCAAACTCCTTGCATTTCTTAAATAATATTATAAGAACACATTGGACAGAGTAAATTACATCACTGTGAACTTGATAAAAGTGAGCGTTTTGCAYTTGACAGATTATTAAATAGTATTTCATAGACAGGATGCTGCGTGGCCATGCACAGTAACATTCCTGCTTCTAGCAGCAATATTCAGGGTCAGTTGGRTAATTGTTCTGGGTTGTGTGGGGATTAGTCTTGTCACTTGGCTTTGGTGGGAGGGCTCAGGTCCTTACGCAAGGGTCCTGTTAGGGAGGGAGAGCCAAAATCCAGAGGTGCATTCTGGGCTGGAGAAGTTTATAATGAAACTGCTGTTTGATACTTTGTTCCACGCAAAAGTCAGCACCTCTGAGCGAGAGGGAATAAAACAGTCTCCAGAACAGCCCGGAGTATTTCAATATCATGTGAATTCATTCCCTGTAGTTTTCTGCTCTGTTCCATATTCAACATTTTAGTGAAGCTTCTTAAAATTCCATCCTAACCCAGAGCTGGCAGAGTGGCTGTGTCGTTAATCATGGCTCAGCCAGTTTGCTGTACCAAAGACATTGAGATTCAGTTGGCTGGCTCCTAAAGACATTCTTTAGTCTGATGAGATACCTCAGGTACCTGCAAAAATAAGGAATGCTTTGAATTGCTTCTACTTGAGGGAGTAATTTAATTTCTGCCTTCACAATGTGATGGCCTTAATGAAGYCATTCAATTTTATTAAAAACTTCTTGTACTGTAGGAAGATGTGTCATAACTTGAATTAAGCATGTGTTAGTGCTTTTACCAGCTGTAGAACTTACTTTAGAGCTGAAATGCTGCTGCTTTAGACCTGCCAGTGAGTTTAGTATTTCTGTGATTTCCACTCTGAAATGAGCATTTCCTTGGATCTRTGGTGTATCAGTGACCAGAAGGGATGTCACAGTGTCTGGGCTGTGCATGGTTGAGCAGGATTGAGTTCTGCCCAGGGTGGAGAAGGTTCCAGATAGAAATGTCTTGTTGAGTCAGACCAAGGATTAATCCAGCTCTGAATCCTCTCTTCAGCAATGGCCATAGCAGATATTTGGAATATAAAGATAAATCAAACATGGATCATGTTTTCTCACTATARTAGTCTAAGTTCTCTGTGTCTGTGCTGTGGAGGCTTTCGTAGCCAAGGTAGGAGCTTTTTAGTAGAATTTCTCAGTTGCAGACCAACAGAAAAACTTGCTTCTAATGGAAAAACTGGTTGRTACCAATACAAATAAACTAATCTGTTCTAACCCTACATTGCAAAACTGTCTTGGACATGCCTAGAAGTTTGGATAGTGGGTGTCAGGGATAGTTTMGTGCATAGAAAGTGCCCCATCATTGAGATGTGGTAGGATTTGAACAGRTATTTTGATAATGAAGGTTAGTTGAATGGTGGACATTTGCCTGAACATAGATAATAATATCTACCCCAAAGGCAGTAATTCTTGGTTCCTCCTCTTCCTTACAGTGTCCTTTAATCAGTAGATCTACWGGTAGTTGATGAGTTGTTATTTCCTTAGAGAAGAGGACTTTCCCAGGAYTGCCAGGGGTTCTTTAGGGGTACTCTGTTTTCTCTGGAGTCATGTACTGAAAGTCAGTGTGCTGTGGCCCATGGCAGTGTTGGGTTTAATATTATTGCTAATGCATTGTAACAGCAGGGGCTGGCAGTGAGAGACCCTGGACATGGGGTATTTGGTCACTGCCTTACGCTGAAATTTAAGTAGCTGTGTCTTTACTGCTAAAATTATCTTTGTTAGGTTAAGCCTAACACATGTTGCAACCAGATCTTTATTTCGGTATTGRTATCCTTACTTTCTGGAAGAAAACCAAGTCATGAAAACAAATATTTGTACACTTCAAAAGAACTGCTTCAGGTGCCAGAAACTTTTGATTGGGGAGACAGTGAACAGGTGCTGATAAGCATATTTYCAGTTCTGCCTTTGAAGTGGCACCTTTTGGGGAAAAGGGAGGGTGATCTGCAAAGCAGAAATTGAAGTTATGTGATAACTTTGAACCTTCCCAATTTTATCAACATCTCGAATACAGTAGTTGTAAATAACTAAATKATATTTTTCTCCTTAGAAAACACAGACAAGAAGGATAACTGGAAAGGCTCTTTTTCACTTCCAACTGGTTGAGTGTACTAGAAGCAGCCAGGATGTCGGGGGCTTCAGTGAAGGTGGCTGTTCGGGTCCGGCCTTTCAACTCCCGAGAAACCAGCAAAGAGTCCAAATGTATCATCCAGATGCAAGGCAATTCTACCAGTAAGTTCATTTTAATCTTTTAAGGGAGTCTTTCTCTGTTCCTAACATTCCTACTGCAGCCATTTCTTTCTGTCAGATTGAGAACTGTACATTGTGTCAYCTACAATTAGTTTTTTAGTTATTCTGCTTTTCTGAGGCTGTCATTACAAACCAGATCATCTCTGAAWGTGACTGGAAAGTCTAARTCACAAGTATCTTGATTTTGATTCAGTTGTTCATAGCGTTTGCTTCTGCTGATCTGAAAATTCTACAGARAGATTAGAATAGCAAAGTGAAAACCTTATCATTAATTCAGTGTGTGGGAGTATCATGTGGGTTCAGGGATACATGGCAGACCACCACAGGATAGTTGTGATGGTGTAAATCATTCTTGGGTCTGCTACTTTAGGTCTTGGTATGCCCATTCTGCAGTTTGTGCCTGTGGTTAAGAACATCATTTGGGTGAGAAAACTGAGATTAAATTTTATGCTTTCCAGAGTARATAGCTAAATAACATACTACATAAAATCATCTTCTTTTCTAACCAATTAAAAGTGTTAGACTTCTTTTGTAATTGTTGTGGATCTTATTTGGWGGAGCACATTGTTGTGTGAGAAACAATGTGGGCACACCTTGTTGTTTGGTYGGTTGTTTTTCATACTTGAGGTCAAGGCAGTGTTGACAGCATTTGAGGGAGTGGTGTTCCTCACCTGCAGACCAACAGCTCTGCCTACAAACTGCTCTTATTGAGGGGGTTTTTCATTGCTGGGTGATCAGGTAGAGTCCTCTTGTCTGCAGCTGTAGGAAGCAACACTCCAGGAGCACTGAGTTATTTCCCTGTCTGATTACTCGAGTGTTTACTCATGCCTTTTAACACAAAGGAGGTTTCATACAGGCCTCTCCCTTTTTTTTTTTTTTTTAGCCAAGATTGTATGTCAACCTGCTTGTGCTTCTGCAATGGAATTGAAGTCCTGGTTGTGGTCATTTAAATGACATGCAGTGTTTGTGGTTTCATTGGAAGAGAAGTGTCGTAGAGAGCAGAGGATGTTTTTTTGAGCAGAAAATTCTTCTGCTCTTCAGAGTTATGTACAATACTACCCAAAGAAACTTTTTGGGGGTTTGAAGTCATCTCATGCAGAACAGGTGCTTGTGTCCCATCACTGGATCCCAGTGCTGARTGTAAGAGCTGCAGACCTCATTAGAGGCCATTTGGTATGGAAATGGCACCAATCTCTGGGCTCCAGAGCACCACTGGGTACCTCTGTCATCACAGCAATGATTTGACATGCTTGASGTGTGTGAGTTCCAGAAGCCTGTGGAAACACCTTGTTTGTGGTGCATCAGGGGTGACCAGTCAGTCTCTGGCAGTTTGTTTGTCTGAGTTTGAGATGTGTAGAGCAGATGCTGCCTCTGGTTCTGAATCTGGTGCTGCTATGACGACACATTTCCAAGATACAGCATCACCTTTCAAAAGGAGAAAAATACTTCCTGATTGATCTAGTTGGAAATTKCTTTACAGAAATTCCTTCTTTTGCTATATTTTGTGCTCTGAAGTGTTCTAATCTGCAGCCTGCTATTTGAATCCTGTGGCTCTGATCAGCCTGGGCCATGTGACAGATGGTTGGGCTTAAGTCACCAGGGCCATTACAGACTGTGGAAAGGAATCATCACTTGCAATATTAAACATCGTTATAATCTGGGGGATATTTTTTACCTGTATTTCTTTCCCCTTAAGAGGAGAGATACAGGAAAGCAATGGACAGAGGCATAGTTTGAACAGAAGAGGATTGTATGGTAAAGGATATGAATAAGGTATTGTTTGATGGGAGAAAAAAGGAGCAGAAGTCTTTCCTCCAAAGAATCTTCCTAACAAAATTGTCTGACACGCAAAACTTCTAGCTGAAATTCTTCAACTGGTGTGCTTTTAAGCTACCATTTGGGTTGCATAAGTGCTATTTTGCTAAAGTTTCTTTCATTTTTGCAACCTCACAGTTCCATTATTGACTTCCCCATTATTAAGGTCTGAACTCGTTTACCAAAAGCTGAGCACATAAAGTGAAATAAGTGTATCTGAGACTCATATCAGATGCAGCAATTTCAAAATAAAGGGAATTTAGTAGTAATTCTAGACTAAGGAGTTCCTGCTTCACACCTTCAAATGTGCCAGTGGAGTGATCAAGGCTTAGATATCTTGCCTCTGAGAAGGCTGTTCTTTCATTTGTGCACTGATCGAGTTGACAGGAGGCAAACCTGAGAGGCTGCTGATATGCTGAGTGGTGGCTATTTTAAGCCTCCAAGACAGTTAAAGTTCCCTTATCTTGGAATTAAAGCCTAATGGACTGTCGTGATACGGATTGATGAGACASTGTGAAGTCTGATAGCTGAGAAGGGATTTTGACTGTTCCTTGAACTTTAATTCTGTRTGTATTGATTGGCTGAGTTGTTCCACAGATCCGCTGTGGGTCCTGCCTATAAACTTTGTCCAAGTCTGAATTTTGTAAATGTGTTGGCAGAGACTGCATTACAGTGAAACTGAGGCAAAGTGCTCAGCATTATGTTAAGGAAAACAGTATAAAGATACAGATAATAAAGTGTATGACAGGGGCACTGTATTTATAAATAGCTGGAGGTGAATGTGTGGAAAAATGAAGTAGATTTTTGAAGTTTTCAGCATATCTTGATTGAATATGTTTTGCCTTTATCTCCTTTTTCCAGTTTTTGTTCAGAAAGATTTCTACCAAATGCATCTTGCCCACAGTGTATTAATTACGTATTTCTGTCCAGTTAATTAATTACTGGTTTTGTGGTGAGTGGAAAAAGATTCTGCAGTGTAATACATGAAAAGTGAGTTACAGATCTGAGAGTGTTTTGTGTGTCAGTAGTTCTTGTGCTCATTCTTGTATGGGCTTTTCAAATGGAACAAACATAAACAACGTTGGCAGCTGCTGCCTTTGGTTATTGAGCTGAAAAACGAAGCTGTTCTGTGCCTAAAGACTCCCTGAATGTTGTGCTTTTTCTGGTTTGGCTTTTGTTTGTTTGAGGTTTTTTTGTTTTGGTTTTTTGGTTGGTTTGGGTTTTTTTTGTGGAAGTGATTTGATAATCCTATATGTAAATGTCTGTAAATAAATAATGCATAAATAAAAGCAAATTAAAATGAAGCAGAGGTTATAGCTAGTAGCTACAAGACAGCATTTAGATATTAATCACTAGCTAAGAGCCCAGCAGGATTATTCTTATAAAAATCTAAATAAGTGTGTTAAAGACGATACTAATGAAACAAAAAAATAAGGAAGTACCCTGCTTGGAATATGTCTGTTGAAATTGTGCACCAGATGAATGAAGATAGGATTTAGATCTTTGTGTGTGAGTGACAGAGTAAAACAAAATTCTCAAATTACAGGTGACTTTGGGGAGCTGGTGGAAGATAAACATTTMATGATCTTTAAATGCTAGAGATGCAAAGGCTGGGTCTGGAGCGAGACTGTGGGATGACTGAGGTGTTCCAGCTGATGTTAAATGCAGTTAAACGACATTATGTTATGTAGTTAGTATGGAGCTACAGCACAGAGATGTTATGAATAGACCCTGAGCAGTTTCTGGCAGTGGTGAGTTCTCCCTGTGAAATGCTTCCCCTCCAGAGTCAGTGCCCACTGACACACAGCTAGGCCTTCAGAGGTGATTCTTGTTATCAAATGCTGAAATAAACCACCACGTTTTAGTGTGTGAGTAGAAGGGAATGCAAACTGGTAGTACTTGAAGAGTAGGATATTTTCATTCAATACACCAATTCTTCCAGAGACATGCAGTATTAAAAACTGGCTGAACTGAAATCCTTAAGGCCTGACTCCCCAGGTTCCAGTGCTCTCTGGATGTGTTACTGGCAYRTGTGGGAAKGTGAAAGCTCTCTTAGGAGAGGCCYTTGGCTCTTGCTGATGTGSAGTCRAAGCAGAAGTGAAGGCAGACRCTGATTTAGCTGCCTTGGGGCAGGAAAGGTGAGCCCAGAATGCAGCTGGAGCATTTACCCAGCCACACACACAGACCTGACCTGCTGCCTCTGCACAGGACATTGCCAGTAATTCGTTGACAGTGGAGGTGTTGGAATGGTTTTGGGTCAGCTTTTCAGCTGGGAAGAACAGGCTGGTTGGGCTGGCTCCTGCCTGCTGCAGAGCCTGCTGGCATGCTGTTCTCCAAGAACACCAGCTGGAGAGCTGATATTTATAGCTCCTGGATCTGTAAGAGCAGCTGAGGATGAGAGAGGCTTTCCAGCAGCTTCTGTGGAAAGCGTTTGCCTTGCCCTGGTGTTGTTGGGCCTGACTCCCTCCCCCAGCCAACCTTTCTCCCAGTGCAGGCTTGAAATTCCACAGTGGGGAGAGAATCCGGTTGAATTCCAAATGAGCTGTTCTTAGCTTCTACTTGGTTTCCTTCCCTTTTAATGATTTGAAAAATGCAAACAATGCTTTGAAAAGCAAGCACTGCTTCRTGGGCTGGAAGTGTCCATTTCCCTTCATTTATCTCTTATAATAACAGCCCTGAAAGTCTGTCTTATAAAAGCACTATGGCCATAGATCTGATTGCAGCGTATGCCTAGGAAAGAAGCCTGTATTAAACGTGGCTTTGTGGTGTTATTCACGTTCCAGCAAATAGAGAATGCCTGCTCCACCCTGTTCTCCATAAGGAACATGTTCCCATTGTTGTCATTCCAGTCTACAGATGGTGCAGATATATTTTCCAGACCCATGTTTTTTAAGAGACTTGTATTTACTGTTAATTTAGTCTTGTGGAGTTGGTTCTGAAAGCCCCAGATTTTTGTATTGCATAAGTTGTTTATCATACAATAATAAAATAAACTGTTTAGCATACATACTAAAACTACTGCCTATATTAATTCAAATAGAGTATGAAGRAGGCATAGACATGCATTATTCTGTGTTTGTTCCCCCAAAAATAACTCCTTCCAAAGTTCTGTCTAGACCAGAATGATTTTTGAAAGTGTCTGCCTATTCCTTTACTAATGATAAAGG